TTTTTTTGCCATCCCTAGTGCCCGGTCAAAATGTAATTGAAAGTCCAAAGTGACATTTTCCCTTGGCAGCACTCATGTAATGTTTCGAAGATTTATTAGTGTAAATTAAGCGAATAAAAAAGTTTGCTAGTGAAATTCCAAAATTACTGGGCTTCGGAAATATCCTCGAGCAAAACCGATTAGTCAAACTTTTAATGAATTAACGAATGACTTTGATGGATATATGAGATCGTTAAGCTTTTCGATTACTATTGAAATTCAAATTCAGACAGAAAAGGATAGACAAGTTTGAAAAAAAAATGAAGTTTTGAAACAGATTGATTAATCAATATATGGGGGTGTCAGTAGAAACCAGGCAAATTGTTTCTAAAGTAAATTTTTTTCCAACTTTAAATTAAAATATCTCAACAACTATTAAACCAAACTTGATAAATTTTTTTTTATTTTAATTCTATAACGATATAGAATTAAAATAAAAAAAAATTTATAAAGTTTAGTTTAATGATTGTTGAGATATTTTAATTTTAAATTTTAAAAAAACTCACTAAAAACAATTTGCCTGGTTTCTACTGACACCCCCCCATATTATAGCCAAGAAACGGTTGTTGATATTATCGCTAATTACCGTAAATTGTTTTATATTAGTTTTTGAATAAAATCGATGGTATATAGATTAGAGTTTGGAACCGGTTTTATTTTTCATATGTAAAAACCGATTAAACCCGGGTTTTAACATATGAAAAATAAAACCGGTTCCAAACTCTAATATGGATCACAGGATTAATATAGTAATATGAGAAACAACAGAAGTCTCATCATGACAATGTCCAATTACTTAAATAGTCGCTAGCGAACTCCTAAAAACAGAAGATTGTTTTCCTCCAGAAACAGTCCGTGGAAAAGTGGCAAAGTGGACTCGAAGTGCAGATATGGTTGAATTAGCCTTTAAAGAAGTATCGGTCAAACGACTTCCTCATGACATGCGTGACAACATACATGCACAAATGACAATTCTTAAGCGTATAAGAGACTCCCAAAAAATAATCAGATTTTTTGGCATTGCCAAAGAAAATGACATGCTATATTTAGTGACTGAATGGCAGAATTTAGAAATTTAAAAGAATACTAGATGTTTCGACACAACGGGTAGTGTCTAAATTTTTACAAGTTGATTTGCTCTTGAAGTGGTTCATGGCTTGAATTTTTTAGCATCTGTGCGGGATATTACATTATGATATAAGATCTGATAATATTCTAATAACTGTGAATAAACATGCAAAGATTTCAAATTTTGGTTTAAGTAGGGATTTACTGATGCTACTAGGAATTCTAAGGCTAGTATTCAGAATGTTCGATATATGGCCCCGAGAAATTTCTACAAGTATGATATTAAATGTGAGGTATAAAGGTAATATTAGTATCATATGATCTATTAAATACTTGCCCAAAATACTAAACTTATTCTAAATGATAACTTTGGTATACTTCTTTGGGAAAGATCTTGTAAAAGGTTTATGATTCCTAACTTTAATCATGATAACCCTTGATTTTACAAAAATAGTTTACCAAGATGCTCCCCTTCCCTAAGCTCAAACTCAATGACCGCAATAAAGGAATACTGTGGTAAGGATGGCAATAAGCAAAATGCATAGAAGTGCTTCGAAGCACATGCGAAAGTTGGTGACTAGGGTTGTTAATGGGCTGGGTTGGGTTGGTTTGGGTTGACCCAATCTTCAACCCACTCCACTAAATTAAACTTACTCCAATGTTTGCTCCGGGTTGCTCCAGGTTGCTCCAGATTTAAAGACAATTTTAAACCCACTCCAACTTGGGTTGGGAGTGCTCCGGAGTAAGCTACTCCATTAACAACCCTACTGGTGACATCACTGCTAAGTATTGGAAAACCTATTTCCTTTATCATAACATTTTAAGTTGACAAGTTTCCACATGTAAAGAACGATATGAAGAGGCAGCTGACGGAAATATGAAAGAGGCACAATTGAGATATGGAAATTGTTTGTTTAAAGAAGAGGGCACACCAAAGGATTTGGCTAAAGCCGCAGAATATTTTAAAAAAGCGGTCGATAATGGAAATCCAACCGCTATGTACAATATTAGAAATATTTATTGCCATGGATATGGAGTAAAGAGAGATCTTGTAGAAGGTAAAAGGTTTTTAAAGTTGGCTGCTTATCGTCAACAACCTCTAGCTACGAAAATGTGTAAACAAAAGAGTATTATAACCCCTGTATATTTATTTATATT